GGCACCCGACACATAGCTGTAGCGAAATTCTATTTGCAGTTCTTCATTTTGTAAAACAGGTAGTCCTCGACTTACGGCCGCAATAAATTACAACCAAAGTCGATGTTGCTAAGCAAGACATTTTTTCAGCGAGTTTTGCCCCCATTTCGGGACTTTTCCTGCCACATTTGTTAAGCGAATCACTGCAGTTGTTCAATTAGCCAAACGGTTGGATTGCCGTCTGTCAGAAATGGTTGCGGGGTCTCCCGCTTGGGGTGGGGTTGGGGTTAGACTAGATGACCTCTAAGGTCCCTTCCAACTCTGTTAAAATCTGAAATTGTTGACTTTTCTTGTTGGAAAGTTGCAGGAAGGGAGGGTTCACACGCCCCCCAGGACGCCGCAAACTCACTTAATGTCTCCCTTAGCGACCAAAACATTGTTCGTAAGGCGAGGACTACCCATAAAAGACTTAAGCACTATTGCTATATTTACCGGTGTCAGTTTCGACTTGTTGTATTACACAGCCAGGTGGAATTCTTTGAGGGAAAAAAGTGGTAGGATACGGATACCTTTGGCTGCAACGGTTAAGAGTTGTGTTTGTGTCCTTAAGGCTGGGCGCGATTTTAGCGGTAAGGAAAGGAATGTTTGGATCCAGCTGTCAAAAGGGAAGGCTTTCTGTGCCAGAGGTTTTTGTGCTGACTCCTGATTTCGCCACCTGAAACAGCTTCTCCCAACCCTGAAGATTTGACAGGAGCTTGAGTTACGATGCCAGACTTCCCAAACAGCATGAGCCGCAACCACGACTCACCACAAACATGGGAATTGCAATTTCCACGTATCCAGAAGGAACTGGTTTGGGGAACATCATCCCCAAAACATAACAATGCATAGTTTTTGCGGGATATTGCATGCAAATAATTTCAGAATACACAGTGGCAATGTTTTTTTAATCAGAAAGTTTTATGCAAAATAAATACACAACAGAAATAAAATACTTAATTTTACATATAATTACAGCGGCAAGGATAGCACTAGAAAAAAATGTTGGAAGTGTGATCAGATGCCAACGGAAAACTTGATAATCCAGAAAGTCTACAATTGCACTTAAATGGATAAACTTACCCAAAAATTAAAAGGAAGACTCAGAATATTATACAGTTTGGGAAACCTGATATAAGTGGATAAACGATAGAAACCAGCAACTAAATAGTTAAGGAAGGGAAAATACAAAGAGGTTATAATAGGAGTATTAACCAGATTCATGAAAAAAGTATTAGAAGATCGTTTGATAAGAACGTACTGTCTAAGTAATTAGAAATGTATATGTTTTTTGGGTTATTTTTTTTGGTTTAGTTTTTAACGAAATGTTTTGTAGTCTCTATATATCTTTTAATGTTTAATAAAGTTTTTAAAAAAAGTTTTGCGGCTGGTCCTTGACTTACGATCGCAAAGGGAACCCAACATTTCCGCCGCTGAGCAGAAAGAGTTGTTAAGGGAGTTTTGCTCCATTTTCTTGTCACATTTGCTAAGCAAAGCGCTGCATTGGATGAGTTATTCAACACGGTTGAACAACCCCATTTTATCACCTTTCTTGCCACTGTCATTAAGTGAATCACTTCCATCCTTAAGTTAGTAATATGGTCGTTAAGTGAACCTGGCTTTCCTGGAAATAAATTCTGATGGCAGAATTGGGGCAGGCAGTCCTTGAACTTAACCACCGCAATTGAGCCAACTCTTGCTGAGTTAAGTCAATTTTGCCCCATTTTACCATCTCTTGCACCGTCATTGAGTGAATCACTGCCTTCGTTAACATGGTTGTTAAGTAAGTCTGGCTTCCCCATGGACTTTGCTTGTCAAAAGTTCGCAAACAAAGGTCACAGGATCTGCGACCGTCGTAAATACGAGTCAATTTGCAAAGTACCTGAATTTTGATCACACCATCACGGGGAGGCTGCAATGGTCGTAAGTGTGAAAAATCAGTCGTAAGTCCCTTTTTCCCAGTGCTGTTGCAACTTGGAACGGTCACTCAACAAACCATTTTAAATTGAGGACGGCCTATAATTGGAATAGATGCTACCTGATTGCTAATTTTTTTTTGTTTTTGCTATCGTAAACTAACCTGGTCCTTTATACCCGGTATAAAATTCGCTCCTTACTCTACATTTTGAAATTCCTTAATGCTAACATTGATTTAGCCTTGTACATTCACGGCGCACCGCTGAATAAATATTCCCACAAGTTGCACAGCGTTCTTATTTTTTTTCCAAAATAAAATACTTAGCAGCTGTGTCATCTGCTGCTTATAAAGTAAATTTTCTTTTTCCTCTCCTCCATTCTCCGAGCAGTCAACCTGTTGCTCACCCACTTCTTCCCAGCCTCCTGATGCCTTTTTAAATTATTTTTAGCTTCTAACTCTTTGAGACCTCAATTGCTTGCGGCACGCGCGCACACACACACACAGAAAGAACGAAGGAGGTGTGCTTGGGAACAATTACATTGGCAAGGTGAGGCGGCAAAATGTGGGTTGGGTTGATAGATAATCTGGGTTTTGTTTAGTTTTTTGTACTTTTCTAAGAATAGAATTGGGTATGGAAATGCGCTCCCCAGGTCCTTAATTTATTTTTTACTAGAGTAGGAGTAGGGGAAGGGGAGAAGAGAAGAGAAGAGAATTCTTTATTGTCCAAGTATGATTGGACACACAAGGAACTTGTCTTTGGTACAAATGCTCTCAGTGTACATAAACAAAAATTTTGGATGTGAGGGAGGGTTGGTTGCACGGGATGAAAATTCAGCTCGTCCCCAGTTGTGGGATGAACGGAGGCCGCCAAGAACAGCCTGAGCCGATTATTAAAGAAGACTCTACATTTTCGTAGTTCACATATTCCTGTAGTGATGTGTTATCTTGTGTCTGGGGAAGTGATGTTTTTGTGATGCTTTAGACAGGCCCTGGGGAACATAAGTGGGACTTCTTGCCAGAAGCTCTCCACTCAATCACCTTCCGAAGGCCGTTCTCTGCGGGCACGAAATGTAGATTGGAGACGGCGCAAATAACCAGAAAATCACACTGGTTTTTTTTTTCTCTCCGAATCCCTATTTTCTAGCAGAGCAGAAATCATTAGGACTGCACAGGTGTCTTAAGGAAGCTTATGGGGCATCCCAGGAAAATACGTAGGGAACATTTGTAGCTCTGGGTTGAAATGAGGGGTCCTTGGTGATTCGCTAAGCTTGCTTGTTTTCCTGCGGACGTTTGATGACCCAACTAGGTAATGTCATCAGTGCTAGGAGGGAGGAGGGTTTGAGGAGGAGGATTGAGGGGGTCCTTGGGGCTCTCTGAGCTTGGTTGTTTTCCTGCGGACGTTTCATGACCCAACTAGGTAACGTCATCAGTGCTAGGAGGGAGGAGGGTTTGAGGAGGAGGAGGAGGAGAACAACAACTGTGGGGTCCTTGATGCTCTCTGAGCTTGTTGGTTTTCTTGTAGACATTTCATTACCATACTAGGTAACATCATCAGTGTGCTAGTAAGGAGTGCTGTTTGCTGTATATTTCAATAAATAACGGCTGTAAATGAATGATAATAAATAAATAAATGATTAACTGATAGCAAACAGCACTCCCTCCCAGCACTGATGATGTTACCTAGTTGGGTCATGAAATGTCTGCAAGAAAACCAACCAAGCTCAGAGACCACCAAAGGACCCTCGGTGTAGCCCTTTACTTCCCATTGTACTTGTCCTATTGATCACCGTTTGTGTATTTTCTGCCTAAGAGTTGGAGCTGAGCTGTTGTGGGGAGAAAGGATATAAGGAGACTGGCATTCATCTCGATAGGGTTCCAAGCCAGGTTTCATTGACAGTGCAGATCTTGTGTTTTTTTAGCAATGCAGCTGTTTATTGCAAAGGAAGATGGTTACTTGCTTTTTTTGGAAGCCCATCAGAGATCTGAAGTTCTCCATTCCTGAACAGGAAGTAGAAGGAGTTGACTGTGTTGACATAATTGGAAAGAAGAAACCTCAAACGCCCCAGAAAGAGTAAAGGGGGATTCTGAATTAAGAGTGGAACGGAATAAGAGAGCTGGAAGGGACCTTGGAGGTCTTCTAGTCCAACCCCTGGTCAAGCAACAGACCCCTAGACCATTCCAGACAAGTGGCTGTCTAGTCTCTTCTTAAAAACCTCCAGTGCAACTTCTGGTGGTAAGCCGTTCCACTGGTTGATTGTCCTCCCTATTAGGAAGTTTCTCCTTAATTCCAGGCTGCTTCTCTCCTTGATTAGTTTCCATCCTTGAAGAATATTGTGAAATAGAAACCCAATAAACATCATCTAGAAAAACAAGTAGAATTGTACCACACAATTGGCTTCATTCACCACATTTGAACTTGGATTAAATAGTCGTAGTCACAACTATCCTGTTTCCCTGAAAATACGACCTACCCTGAAAGTAAGTCCTTGCTTGATTTTTAACATGTGCGCCTGATATAAGCCCTATCCACAAAATAAGCCCTAATTAAGATCCCGCCCACTCCAGAGTGGATGGGTAAAAATTAAGCTAGGGTGGGGAGGTGGTGTATGTGGAGCTGCCCTACTACTTACCTGTGGACAGTTGTAGCCAGGCCTAGCACACCCCGACACCTGCCTTGCCGGCCCATTTCTTCTGCAGCCAGCAAGGCTTTCCTGAAGGCCTTTGGAGCTGGTAACAAAGCTCTGGATCGATCCAGGCCTTGCCGGCCACAGAAGAAGAAGTTCCTGAAGGCCTCTGACAGCAAAAAGGAGGCTAGTGGGGGCGACACGTGCAAGTGAGGTTAGTCAGTGGATGACATCCCCCGAAAATAAGACCTGGTGCCTTTTTTTGGTGGCAAGAAAAATAAAAAGACAGGGTCTTATTTTCAGGGAAACATGATATTAAAATAGTCGCTGACAACATTTGACGGATTAATTGGCCCTCCCGATTTAAGCTAAAACATCGTACTTGCCATAGTTGAAATTTTAAAGTTTAAAATTGCGTGTTGTCTTTATTTTCTCTGCAGCCTAAAATGACTTCGGTATAAATGCCAGAGAATGGCCTCCAAAGTAACAGATGCTATCGTCTGGTATCAGAAAAAGGTAAGAATTTTTTTTTTCAGTATGAAATGATGGTTTTCGAACAGATTATAGCCTGGCCTAATTACATTTAGTCCTCAACTTACCACAGTTCATTGAGTGGCCATTCAAAGGTGTCAACTCAAAAAGATTTCTTTTGTTTTTTAGAGTTGCCAGCAGAAAAGGAGGGGGAGAAGTAGTACATTCCTTAAATGCTTTCATAGATAATGGCTAGGAGACCGAAGCTTCTGGCGGGCAAGATTATTACTGGAGAGCATGATTGATAACTCTTGGCTATGGATGTGTAATGACCCGGGGCGGTGCCACAAAAGCAACAAAGTCACAAAAGTAGGTCAAGTCCCTTTAATTCCTCCAACTTGGCCCCCAATGTCCAGTTATCATCAGCTGGAGAAAAAAACTCCCAAGAACAGTTTTTAAAGGGAAGAAATTCAGTCCGAACCCAAAGTACATATAAATTATAAATAAAAACCAACACAAACCACGCTGCAGCAATTAACGAGACAGGGCAGGATATGGAATTGCAGACTTCAAAAGATAATGAAACACACATAGTTGGGAGGACGTCAGAACCCAGATAAGACATGACAAACAAAGATAATTCACGCTTTGTTTCCAGTATTGCTTCTTTATCCTGTTTATCATGTTTCCCCAGCTGTAGCTAATGAAGGGAATCAGGGCCCCTTTCTCCCTGTAAACCCCGTAACCCACATTGCTCCTTTCTCCGTTCCTCCCTGCATGTCCTAGAATAAAGAGGGGGTGGGCCTGGGTCTTCCTCTGAATGCCCAGCTGGACTGTGCCCTTCCCCAGTTTCCTCCATAGCCACCGGAGCCACACTCCCACTCCCTGTTAGCTGTTCCCCCTCCCCCTTGGAATCAGATTCGAACAGGGGCATGACAGGCTGTATCCCATTGGAGAATATACATCCAGGGGGTAGGGGAAGACCAGGGTCAAGTGTGAGATGAATGATGTGTCTTAGAGTCGGCTGCACCCACGTAGCGGCAACTGGAGTTTCTTGTTTTTTCTTTTGAAGAAGTTTCACTTCTCATTTTCTCACTTGGATAAACCTCCAAGTGGCCTCAACGACTCTCAAAAAGGATGCAAATGACCAGCTGTCTACAAGGAATAGAAATCCTTCCATTCCCCAGAGCTGAAGAAGCTTCTTGGATGAGAAGCGAACCGTCTTCAACAGAAAAAGAAAAAGAAAGTCCAGTTGCCTCCTGAAAAAAGCACCTTTGGGACTAATATCTGAGAGTTGTTTTTGAAAAAATGAAATAATTCAGGTTTATCTTGTTGTTCTCTAAAGCTTTTATAATGTCTGGAGGCCGTAGGTGCAGTCTGGCAATGCTTTCCTCTTTATGCAGAAAATAACTTACCACTGAGCTCACTCACATGTTTCTAGTTTTTCAAATGTTACTGCAGAAATATGCATGGGTGTAAGTCATAGTGGCCTTGGGCACATTTATGAATATATGAATGCAGCCATTGTGTTGCCTTTCTGGATTCAGTTTACTGACTGGGGTTTATTTGTGTGTTTGAAGTTTTGGAACACAAATTTCAGCAATGCCTTTTTTTAAAGGGCAAAACGCTTTGCCTGTTTGTGTTAAGGCTTAAGGGTGAACTTGATGTTTAGCTCAGTCAACATTGCTTAGGTACAAATACAAATGATTTACTAGATTCCCTTGGTGGTCTCTGAGCTTGGTTTGTTTTCTTGCTAACACTGATGGTGTTACCTAGTTGGGTCATGAAACATCTGCAAGAAAATCACCAAGCTCTGAGAGCAACAAGACACCGACAGTCCTCTTCTGCTTCTCTTCCCCTCCACAAAACCCACTCCCTCGTAGCACTGTTGGGGTTGCCTAGTTGGGTCATGAAACGTCTGCAAGAAAACCACCAAGCTCAGAGAGCACCAAGGACTCTTTATTTCAACCCTGAGCTACAAATAGTCTCCTTTATTGGTCATTAGATTCCATTTAATGCAGCTTAGAAGGGAAATATTATAAAAAAAAATCTCCTGAGATTTGGCTGGTCAATTCTAATCCAGACTGGCATAACTACATCAAGTTGTAGTTGGAGGATTCTTTACTCCTAGAAGTTTAAAACAAACAAACAAAAAGATTATAGGAAAAAGGAAGAGAAGAAAAACTTGCAGAAATTCTCCATTCAGGAGCTGGATTCTACCTCTTCTTAATTAGGGCCAACTAATGACTTTATGAGGCTCCCAATCCCTTAGCTAAAAGTCCTTATAGTGAATAAAACATTTTTATGTCACGAGTTTTTTAAAATGGCAACAAGTATGGCTGATTGATGTTGAAGGCATCATCCAGTGCCTTAAATTTCAATATAATTGCCTTCTTATTTACAACGGGTGATGAGACTTGAAAAACATCAATTAGCTTTGGTCCCCATGACAAAACCAAACAACTGATTTTTGCATAAAAATAGTTGAGCTTCTAGTTAACATATCCGGCTCCAAATTTAGATGTATTTAAAATATATTATTTAAAAAGTCTGCATAATAGCTTGTTGCATGTTTACCCAATAAAACTAAGACCACACCTAGAGCACTGCATCCAGTTTTGGTCACCACACTATAAAAAGATGTTGAGACTCTAGAAAAAGTACAGAGAAGAGCATCCAGGATGATTAGGGGACTGGAGGCTAAAACATATGAAGAACAGTTGCAGGAACTGGGCATAGCTAGTCTAGGGAAGAGAAGGACCAGGGGAGACATGATAGCAGTCTTCCAATATCTGAGGGGCTGTCACAGAGAGGAGGGAGGGTCAAGCTATTTCCCAAAGCACCTGAAGGCCAGACAAGGAATAATGGATGGAAACTAAACAAGGAGAGATTTAACCTGGAAATAAGGAGAAACTTTCTGACAGTGAGAACAATCAACCCATGGAACAGAAGTCACCTTCGGAAGTTGTGGGAGCGCCATCACTTGAGACTTTCAAGAAGAGACGACTGCCATTTGTCAGAAATGGTGTAGGGTCTTCCACTTGGGCGGGGGGTTGGACTAGATGACCTACAAGGTTCCTTCCAACTCTGATTATCTGTTATCAATAAGTCAAAGTTTTTCTCCGGGTAAAACCCCCCAATAATCTTAAATTAAAGCAGTAATCTGATGTTCACAGGGAAGAATGGAATACAGATACAGGAAGTCATCGAGTTATGACCACAACGGAGATTTCTGTTGCTAAGTGAGATGTTTGTTAAGTGCCACATTTTACGACCTCTCTTGTTCTGGTTGTTAAGGGAATCTGGCTTTCCCCATTCGTTCAACGGCAACGACTCACTTTAACAACTATGGCAAAGACAGATCATGAAAGGGGGCAAAACTCACTTAACTAATATCTCGCTTAACGACAGAAATTTGGGGCCCAGTTGTGGTCATAAGACGAGGACTCCCTGTATTGTAGTAGTTCATTGGTCGATAAATCCACTGAACGTTTTATTCTTATTTTCCGAGGGCCAAAATGTCGATCAGGTTGATTACATCAATAGTTAGGTTAGGAGTAGAGACATCCACCTGGACATCAATTATACATTGATGCTGAAATATTTATTGTTTCTACTAGAAACACCGGAGTTGGTAAGTATTGGACTACACAGTGATACTCTCACAGCCTCTAGTTCAATGGACCACAAGGTGTTTGTCCCGAAGCTCGGGTTTAAATTTGGAAAGGATACGCATTCTTCTTTCCACCAGAAACTTACGAGACCAATTAATCAACACGTTCCCTAATTCTGACTTAACACAAACCAACTCCTATTAAACACACACAGACACACACACACAAGTGCAAGGGCCGATATTATGGCACTGTGGTCCTTGGTTGTATAAACAGGCAAAGAATCAAAATCACGTGAAGTATTAGTAAAGGTAAAGGTTCCCCTCGCACCTCCGTGCTAGTCTTTTCCGGCTGCAGGGGGGCAGTGCTCATCTCCGTTACAAAGCCGTAGAGCCAGCGCTGTCCGAAGACGTCTCCGTGGTCATGTGGCCGGCATGATTAAACACCTTCAAAGGTGCACGGAACGCTGTTCCCTTCCTACCAAAGGTGGTCCCTATTTTTCTACTTGCATTTTTTAACATGCTTCCGAACTGCTAGGTTGGCGGAAGCTAGGACAAGTGATGGGAGCTCACTCCGTGATGCGGGGCTAGGGATTCGAACCGCCGAAATGCTGACCTTTCTGATCGACAAGCTCAGCGTCTTAGCCACTGAGCCACCACAGCCCCTCTCATATTAGTACCGCTCGATAAAGCCTTAGTAAGGCCACACCTGGAATACAGCATCGAGTTTTGGTCACCAAGTTGCAAAAAAAAAGAAGATGTTGAGACTTTGGAAAAAGCGCAGAGAAAGAGCAACTAAGATGATTAAAGGCCTGGAGACTAAAACATATGAAGAAACGGTTGCAGGAATTGGTTATGTCTAGTTTAATGAAAAGAAGGACTAGGGTGACATAATAGCAATGTTCCAATATTTGGGGGGCTTTGACAAAGAAGAGGGATATCAAATTATTCTCCAAAGCACCTGAGGGCAGGACAAGAAGCCATGGGTGGAAGCAAATCAAGGAGAGAAGCAACCTGAAATTAAGGAGAAACTTCCTAACGGGGAGGACAATTAACCTGTGGAACTGCTTGCCATCAGAAGTTGTGGGTGCTCCATGCCGCTAGGTTTTGAAGAAGAGACTGGACAGCCACTAGTCTCGAATCATATAAGGTTTCCTGCTTGAGGGGGTTGGACTAGAAGACCTCCCAGGTCCCTTCCAGCTCTATTTCGATTGTTAACTACATCCTTTTAAAGGTTTGCCTCTGAGTAAGAGGGAGTAATTTGCCTGTTTTGGCCAAACCCTTCACTCTTACCCCAGAGTAATATAAGAATTCCACATTTTGTATCGTTGAAGAATAGACAAGTTATTAAATTCATTCTTTCTTTTTTTTCAAGAACTGTTATTATCTCTGTCCGGACCACTTCCTGCCTCTCTGCTTCTTTAAAACCCAACTTTCCTATGACAGCATCCCTCACAGTTCAAGGCTGGGCTGTGTCCTCCCCTTTCGGTTTCCGTTCATGGTTGTCGGGAGGGGGAAGGGGTGTGCCCCGGCATCCTCAGCCATGCTTCATGCAGGCAAGTGCCCGTGGGGAGAACTTGCTAGTTCTCTCTCCCTCTCTCTCTCCCTCATGTATTCTGGGAGGGCTGCAGAAAAATCAAATGTATAGACCAGTGGTGGCTAACCTTTTTCGGCTCCTGTGCCGATAATTGCAGAAAGCAATGCATGCTGGCCCCCTTCATGCCCCCTGTCCATGTGTGCATGACCCCCCCTCGTGCGCTGCGCGTATGCACATGTGCGCGCAATTTTCCCTTTGTGCACCGCACATCTGCACATGCATGCGTGATTCCCCTTGTGCAATGCACATCTGTATGCACACGCGATTCCCCATTGTGTCTGCGCATGCGCAGATGTGCGGTGCACATGGGGGAAGCACACATCTCCGCATGCGCACACAATTTCCCAGCGCACCCCATGCACCTGTGCATGCGTGCATGATTCCCCCCTGCGCAGGTGCATGCGATGCACAAGGGGAATGCACACATCTGTGCATGCGCACACAATTTCCCATCGGACCCCATGCACCTGCGCATGCGCACATAATTCCCCCTTGCGCCCCGCTCATCTGCGCATGCGCGTGCGATCCCGTCACATGCAGTGCATCCCCGTGCATGCACATGCGTCTCCAGTGCCAGATACCGCGCATGCACAGTGTGGCTTTTTGGGGCAACCTCTCGTGTGCCTGGGGAAATGGCTCTGCGTGCCACTTCCGGCTCGCATAGTATTGGTTCACCAACACGGGTATAGACGGTTAAATGAGTTCCAGAGCTAGAGTAACTAACGGAACAACGTGCCTCCAGAAATTGTGGGTGTTCTAACACTGGAGGTTTTTAAGAAGAGATCGCACAGACATTTGTCTGAAATGGCGTACGGTCTCCTGCCTAAGCAGGGGGTTGGACTAGAAGACCTCCAAGGTCCTCTTCTCTTCTTCCCTCCTCTTCTCTTGAAGAAATTGGACTGCCGGTTCTCCAAACTACTCAAAATGTCCGCTACCAGTTCTCCAGAACTGGTCAGAACCGGCTGAATACCACCTCTTCCCCGAGGTCATGTGATTCCCTTTTGCAGCCTTCTGATAGCAAAGTCGATGGGGAAACCAGGTTCACTTAACAAACCGTGCTACTCACTTAAGAACTGTAGTGATAACAGTGTGTCATAAAGGCCATGAAATGAGGCCAAATTCACCTAACAAATGTTTTGCTTAGCATTGGAAATTTTGGGCTCAGTTGAGCATGACCTGTAATCAGAGAATATCTCAATTACAAATGTTATATTTTATAGATAGATGATAGATAGATAGATAGATTTATAGATAGATGATAGATAGATAGATAGATAGATAGATAGATAGATAGATAGATATAATTTGTAACTGAGAAATTCTATATATATACATATACATATGTTCACATATACTGTGTATATGTATATGTACACACGCACGCACATTTGGAGAATTCAGGTGTGAGTTTGGGCTTATTTCTTTACTTCCTGAGGTTGGCTGGCTTTATGTTAGTGTGTTTCCTTGTTTAATTTTTTCTACTGTCTCGCTGATCTTTCCCAGGAAGTTTTGTTATCTTGTTCAGTAGATTTTGTTACCAAGAAACAAAACAAAACTACTGAACTGAAAAAAAAAATCTGCTGAAAAGATTTGTTGTTATGAGCGGTCTGTTTGCCTAGTGTTGAAAATGCTCGCTTCCCATTCGGAAGGTTGAGAGTTCAATTCTAGGTAGCAGCAAATGTTTCTCTCTCTGGACACAAAGAGAAAATATCTACTGTGAACTCTGTGTAGGTGTCAGGAAGGGCATCTGGCCAGTAAACGCTCAGCTCCATCTAGTCATCCCGACTCTAGGGGATGACAGGATCAAAAAAAGGAAAGGTTTTCCAGTAGTTTTTGTTATCTTTCTGTGTGAACCCTGTTACAGATTATTTAACTGCCTGTGTAGATTTCAGAGTTCATACTAGATCCATCCCCTTGTAGCTTACCAGATGCAGAATTTTCGTTCCATCTCTTACAACACCCGACATCTGTTCCCTATTGGAGTGAAAAGGCAAAAAAATAATAATGAAAAAAGGATTCAATAGAAAAGGAAGGCGAATGCTTTAATTAAAAAAATACGGTAGAAGTACTTTTTTTTTTAAAAAAAAAGAAAGGATAATGTGTAGAATATGCCGTATAAATTGTACTACCTTTAGAACCTTTAGCCTGTTAAGGAAATTTTTTTATGAAATTACGAAATTCAGTAGGACTAAACTGAAATATAATGTTCATTTGCAGCCCGTGTGGTAAACCACAAGTTTCTATTCTTCCTCCTTTCTCTAAAAGATAACAGTCGTAGAATGGGAACTCGTGGTGTGTTTGTTCAGCACGGCACATAAATAACTTGCTAATGCTTGAAGTGCCTCTGAAATGGTGGTAATCCTTCAGTTTTTACTATAATGAAATTCAGCACAGAAGGAGATTCAGAACTGGCTTTCATACATTATCTAGCACTCCTGCAATTGTTTTATTTCGCCATCTGTAACACCAGGGTGTGGACCAATAGAATAAATTGTTATTTAGCACAGTCTTGAATTCTTATCTAGAGAACAATCTGAGAGCAGGTCTGAGAGAGGTAGGATCCTGGAAGTATACAGTTTACAGAAATGTGTAGATTCTTCTATTTTTATGTATTTTTTTCTATTCCTGTTTGAACACAGTCAGAGCACGAAATAATGTTTTTTATTATTATAGACAGAGATAGATAGATATAGATAGACACACAGACAGACACAGAGAGATGATGGATGGATAGATATAGACATGATAGATAAATAGATTAGATAAATTAGATAAGACAGATGATAGATAGAAAGAAAGATAAATAGACAAACAGACAGAGAGAGATGATGGATGGATAGATAGATAGGCAGGGAGAGAGAGATGATGGATGGATGGATGGATGGATGGATGGATGGATGGATGATAGAGATGGATGGATGAATGGATGGATAGATAGGCAGGGAGAGAGATGATGGATGGATGGATGGATGGATGAAGGGATAAAGGGAGGTTGGGAGAGATGATAGACTGATCCTACTGCACAGTAAAACGTAGCAAATTGTTTTTATTCTGAGGGCTGTCGTAGTAGGAGCAATGCTTAGATATTTACTTCATTTATCCAGGATTAACTAAAAGTACTATATTCGGGTGTACTGCCCTATCTCTACTTACTGTAAACCACTTCGTTGAATTCAGTTGATGGATTATGTTTCATCAGGTTGCTTTCCACTCCCAACAACCACACAGATAAATTTTCTCAAGAAACAGCACTGGGTCTTTTAAGATTCCTAACCATGTCACTCCTTGGAATGCAGTCTCTTGAATTTAGCAATTTTCTAAGTCTAGTGTCAGGACTCTGTGACAATAATAGGATTGCTGTAATTGTGGCACGGTTCATTTTTTTGGGGGGGGGGGGGGCAATGTAGAAGATCTGTTGAGAAATGCTATTCTCGACTTCGGAGTCCAACCTAAAATTTTCTCTCTCTAGCACCGTTAACTCTGAAGCCCAGTAACATCAACTGGGTGCTGCCACCTATTGAAGCAGTGCAGAAAATGCAGAAAAGACATTTTATAACTCGTTTATGATTTGCAACACATTTAGCTGGGAGTCATAAACTAAAAAAAAAAAAACACTGTCGTCATGCTGTTGAAGCATAAATGTGATTTATTCTCAGCTGTTCTGTTTAAACAACTGTTAATACGGGCAGTGCTTCAGTTTGTAATTGCTAAACTGGGTTGTTTTGTTTTTTTAATTTTTAAAAGGCAGATTTAAATTAATCAAATGTATTTAAGCTGGTTCATCTCTTTGATTTGCAGCTTTTTTCCTCCATGTAATATGTATGTATATGCACAGGTGCGCTGTTTTAGATGTCGTGCCAAATTTGCATACTGCAATGATTCAATATTTTGCCATGCCATGTTTTAATTAAATCCTTTTTTTTCTCCTTTATAGATTGGGGCTTATGATCAGCAAATATGGGAAAAATCTGTTGAACAAAGAGAAATCAAGGTACATTTCCAGACTGCAATCCTTTTTTTTTATAGCAATACATTCCTTAATAAATTTGTTTTATATTGGTTAAAGCAGAGTTTTTAAGCAAAAACTTCTAATCTTTACAATGATGTTTAGCATTGAGTATTATTAGCACTATTTAACTGTTCTCTAATCTTATGTACAACCAATACTACATTTGATATTGGTCAGTTCAGTTTTAAATATTTGCATGCTGATTTTCCTGTTCTGGTTAATGACCACAATAAGCTTTTTCAAATTCCAGTAACACATTTAGAACTCCCTTTTCAAATAATGTGTTTTATGGAAATATTTGCAGACGAATAAGTTTTGAGCAGCTTTCTTTATTAACTTATTGAGGAAGTCCTATAAAGTTCTGAACGTGACTTGCAGAAAATTATTTGGAAAAAAAACTTCTTTTGTTTTGTTAAGAAAGCGGTAGGATTTAACACGCTAATTCTTACACATCTGCAATATTTTTAGTAGTTTTAAATCAATGTAAAGTTAGAACAATTAATCAGTGGAACAACTTGCCTCCAGAAGTAAATGCTCCAACACTGGAAGTTTTTAAGAAGAGATTGGACAGCCGTTTGTCTGGAATGGTGTAGGGTTTCCTGCCTAAGCGGGTTGGATTAGAAGACAACTCTGTTGTTCTATTCTATTCTAATTCAGTTTTTTTCTCCTACTGAGATGAAACTTTAGCACAAGAATCGGGAAGGGGAGGGGAAGTTAAAGGATTGGGAAATCTGTATGTTTTATGTCCACTTGGCTATAAAATGGGTATAAACAGTACCACACTTTGCTGCTGTGGGGTATCTTCTATAGAAGCTCCTAAAATTGGAGTAGAAAATTTACATTTCTCTCGCTTTAAGAAATCCAAACACTGGCAAAATCCTGCTGTGTTTAGTTTATGTTGCATTAAAACTGCTTGTCATTTTATCCTGCACTCTCTTCTGACTTTTTGTCAGTTTTAGTTTATTGTCTTCTGGTTGTGTTTATAGTTCCAGTTCACTTTTCATCCTGTTATTCTTTTGAACAGTTTATTAAATTGGTAAGTACGCGATGGTGGCCGAAATGTGTATTAAGCAAGCAGCTTCTATAGATTAATGGTCTTTGCATCTAAGCCTCACTAACAAAATCCCCTTATTATCCGCTGAGCTATAAGCAAACGTTTGAATATTTAAGAATCAATAATAATAATAATAATAATAATAATAATAATAGTAATAATAATAATAATAATAATAATAATAATAATAATAATAATAATAATAATAATAATAATA